TTTCACCTCCCTCCCAGATCTGGCAGACAATGAAAAAGGGAGCTATTTTTAATCTAAAATGTTCTGTGTTTCAAGTCCAGAGAATGAAAATGTAGTTTTTCCTCCTCATAGCTGAGTGCTATAAAACTTTTTGTCTATAAAGGAAGGATAAAACTTCCTTCAGGAAGGGCAAAAGTTCTGATTTTGGGGGCAACAGATCTTAGTTCCCTTGAGAAACTGAAGAACAGTGGCAATCACTGTCCTTGGATTAAGGAATTTACCAAGAAGAAGGAACAATTTAACAAAGGGGGCTGGCAAAGTCTAGTGTGGTAGAGTGGTATCAATTCCTTTCTGGGGGGAAGATGGTGGTCATGGATTAGGAATCACTTGCCTGAGACAATATTTCTGGCAGCCAGGGAGATTGGCATCACTGTCAGAATGGTGCTTACACACCTTTCATCATCTTGCTGTCACTCCAGTTCTGCCATCCCACGGGAGTCCCTGCTCTATCTGTCCTCCTGACAGGCTGGCAGGGATTGTCCAGGAGAGAAGGGGAATTTCTGCTCCAAGTGTGCTCCCTGCCCACAAGAAATGGATATGGGAGAAGTTTCTCCTTCTCCCCACTGTGGGTGCCCTTCTGTGCTGAGCCCAGGCTGGTGGGCCAAGGGGTAGGGCACCTTCCAGAGCAGGTCCATCCTTCCCTGCTGACTGTCCTGCACCCAGGGCTGTGGTGGTGGGGACAGCAAGTTGTTGCCCCCAAGGTGCAGGTGCTGCTTTAAGCAAGAAGGGCTGAGGCTTCTTTTGCCCTAAAGGGAGGAGGAGGGAGAGGGGCAGAGCAGGTCTGACTGTACAGGAAGGGGTGAGCTGGGGAAAGCAGTTTTGCAAGGTGGCTTTAGGCCAGGCTTCAGGCCAGACAGCAGGCAGGATGTTACAGGAGTGTGCCAGGAGCAGCATTCCCATATCAGCACTGAACCCTGTCCCTCCAGCACTGGTGGAGCTGCTTCAGTGCAAAGCCCAGCTCAGCTTTCCTTTGGCTGCCCGTGACAGCCCACATGGTGTCTGTGCTGGTGCCCCTCGAGCAGGGACAGCCCTCCCCTGCCCTGCTGCAGGCTGGGCACACACAGAGTTCCAGCTAATGAAGCACAAGGTCACAGGAGCTCCCTGCAGCTGTACAGGCAGAACTTTCCTTGCTGAGTACATTTCCATCCTGGTTCCAGCCTGGCACAGCCCTGCAGACACACCTTGCTCTGCTGCAGGGGGTGTCTAATGCAGCCCATGGGTCACAGCATCCTGGCACCTGAGGAGGCTCAAGGGCACAGCCAAACTCTGAGCCAGCAGCCCTCCCACGGGGCTGCCCTGCCCTGCCCTGTGCTCCTCTGCCTGCTGCCCCATGGAGCAGAAAAGGGGGGAGCAGCAGCACTTGTCTCCTGGGGCTGGCCAGGTCCTTGGTGTTCCTGGCTGGCCTTCCTCTCGCTGGTGTTGCTCACCAGATATGTCACTAAGCAGCAGCAGAGAGAGACCCAAAGGCTCAGATCTGATTAACCTCTACAACTTTATCCCGTGTCTTAATTGGATTAGCTGCAGGGGGTGGGTTTGCTCTTGTTCCTGATTTTTTTTTTCTTAAACAGGTACTTATCACTGTGACATCTGATGGAAGCAAAAGGTTCAAGTAGCAAGACCTGTGAATAAACAAGCAGTGTTTGCTTCCTCCCCACTGCTCAGCTAACAGCTCCTGCCCTTCCTTTCTGAAATATTGCTGATGCCTGTGAGATGGCTCTGAGTAAGCCCTGCAGTTGGATCTCCTGGGAGGTGTGGGCCTTGCCTGAGAGCCTGGATGCCAGACCCAGAGTCCCTGATTGCTAATTGCAGTTCTGTCACTTTGGGGAAGGATTTCTGCTCGGTAACTGTTCAAAGCAGGATTAACTTCCCACGTTCAGTTTCTTTCATCTTTTCCCTGAGCTTTTCAGTTTCCTTCACGTTCTTCTGCCCCTCAGGGTTTTTGCTTGTCCCACCACCATGGCTGTGGGTTGTAGGGAATTGGCCTTACTCAGCACTGCAATAGCCCTTCCTCTTCCAGGACTTCAAAGCTTGTGCTCCAGTACCAGCTCATTTAGTTTCACAGATGGGAACATGGAATAGGAAGATCAGTGGCCATATCCCATTACAATGGGGGACAGGCTGCTACAGACCTAAAAAGAAGGAATTGAATCCATTTCATCATGAGATTACCTCTCATTCCTCATGGTGTTGTCTGCCTGTGTGGTGCCCAGTGGAGAAAAAGAAGAACCAGTTTACAGGAGTCTTTTCCCCATGTCCATCCTGCAGCACCCAGTTGCCTCTTCAACAAGCTTAAAATAGAAGCCTTTTTCCTTGTCAGAGCTGTAATGGATCCTGGATTGGGCACTGGAGAGGGTGATGAAGGGGCACATGCTGCTGAGAAACTCTCTCTCTCTCCCCTGTAAAAAAGACTGAATTGTAGGTGTGATATCAGGCCGTGGTTCTGTTCCAGGAGGAATAATTGCTGTACCGGCACCACTCCGGCTGTTACAAGATCAAAACTGCTGTTACATTACAGCTGGTAATACTGCCTGGCTTGGCAAAAGGACTGACAAAGTGTTCCAGGATTTTAATGTATGTCCAGATAAACTGTCTTCCACAGTGAGGCTCAGGCCTTTGAATTTAGTCCATGTAAAATAGCAAGGGCTTTAGTGACTTGGTAAAAAGGTAACTCCAAGGAATCCCCTCTTTGTGCAGGGCTTGAATGGGATTCGTTTGTGTGAAGCACAGTTACAGTAGAGGGTTCAGGGCTCCTTTGCATCTGGGATGTGTGGTGGTCAGGGAGGGCTCAGCTGCTGCTCCCAAAGAAAACATGGCCATTAAGCTGAATTACGATGGACATGAGGTTCCTTTCTCAGATTTAATGTATTCCTGTATTTCGTGTCCCCTGGCTCCTGGGCAGCTTGCAGGCTGGGAATGGAAATTGGGAACTGCAGAGGATGACTGAGCCATTAGCAGGCAGAATTTGATGCTCATAAAAATGAATGCATTTAATGTTGCAAGGCATTGGTTTGCTTTGGTCTCCTGAGGATCTCTTACTTGGAATTTTGTGACTCAGGCTATATTTGTTACAAAAGCAATACAAATGGAGAGGCCCTGTGGTTTCAGAGGCTTGGCTGCTCTCTTGTCTGTGAGTATCATTTCAGCTTTTTCTGTATCAAATGTTATTCCAAGGAAGCTGTGAAAATGTGAAACGCAATGATATCCGAAAACAGAGTATTGCAGTCCCAATTTGTGGTATCCACAGAAATAGCTGTCTTTGGAGATCTGCTCAGATACTGTTTTTCAGGAAAAGCCAAGTTCTAGTAGATAATTTTTCATTATTAGGCTTTCACTGAGGGATATAGAGGACTAAAAGGATTTGGTGGGTCATTAAAATAAGTACAGATCTGCCACTGTGGGGTTTTAAACACAAGCTGAAATCCTGGTCCCTCTGAAGGGGCCTCGTTTGCCTCCTTCAGGCCCCACTCTAATTTCATTACTGGTTTCAGAAGGGAAAGGACTTCTACTGATTTTAATTTTACAGTGTTTCTTTTAGCATGCAGACACAGAAATATTCAATTTCTTTCGCCGAGGGTTTCATTAAAGGAAGCTCACACAACGTGCACCCCTTCCATGGGAGAGCATTCGTGTGATAAATTTAATTTTTCAAGCACGGGAGGTTGTGAGGGAAAACACTGGTGCTTCTTGCTTTTCCCTTTAGCACTGAGAGACAAATCCTTCAGCTCTTCCTCACTCCTGGCAGCCTGGGCTGAAGGGGAGGCAGCAGATACGCCGGGAGAATATTGTGCTACGCACCATAAAGTTGTGCCAAGGCAAAAGGAACACCCAGGCTGAAATCACCTTCTCCCCTGAGGCTTCTGTGGTTTATTTTAATATTTTCTAAGGTGAAGTGCTGGATCCAAGCCTTGCCAACAGCCAACATCTTTCATGTCAGGCAAAAAGTCTTTGCTAGTGTCTTCCTTGGCCACCAGATGCTGGGGATTTCGGTGCAGTAGAGTTTGGCTGTGGGAAGTCTGCTGTTGCTGTAACAATGTGCAGCTCTGTGGGTGCTGCACCCACCTCTGCCTGATGTGTTCTCACAGGGATGTGTGCCAGGGTCAGGCTGAGCAGTGTTCCCATCTGAAATTCCCCTCCTTCCCCTCAGCCCCCACCACAGATCCAACTTATCTAGACTGCCCCATTTCCTTGGTGTGGGAGGGATTCTCACTTCGGCTTGTCTGAGAGCAGGACCACAAAGCCTTGGAAGGGAGGAGTGAATGGAGCTGTTCACCAGGACCTGCTTCTTCTGGTGACACCAACTGGCAGTTTCTGAAATAATTTTTACTTTAGGTGCCTCCAAACTCTGTAGAGTGAGAATTGGAGGAAGCAACACTGATCAATGAAAATGTCCATATAATTTTCATTGACATAATAAAGACTAAGGTACATTATAATTAATTTTTTAATGCAATAAAATAGGATGGGATGGGACAGGAATTAACCTCAGCTAAGCAACCAGTATGTTGTGCTTCCCTACTTACTACAACAAATATTTGTCTGTGCAGTGAGATTTGCTGGCATAGAAATGGTGAGAGAAGAGGGTGATGGCCATGGGAGTTGGCCTGGCTTGCTTTCTGCTGTCCCAAGCATGCTGATGTGTGGTACTTCACTGAGGGCTAACCAAAACTAAAAATCTTGTCTTTATATCTCCTGTCCAGCTCCTCCAAGTCACTCACTGTGCTGAGCAGAGCCTGGTTATATCTGTTCTCCATCTGTCCCTTCCTCTGTCATCTCCACTATCATTAATTGTTAACGTCTGGCCTGAGAGATTGCCTCTTAGCACGGTGCTGAGGGGATCTTTCCATGGAGGATTAGGGCTGGAGTGGATTGACAGGAGGCAGTATCCTTGCTGTGGGAAGTTTGCCAGTCATGTGCAAGCTCAGTGCTGCTGCTCTGCCACTGACTCCAGTTCATGTCAGGCCATGGGCAAGACTCAGCTGCAGCCCCGTGCCCTGTCACCGGGCACAGCAGGCCAGATGTGGCCTGTGCACTGTGTGCTGGCTTTGGGGGAGGCCTCCTGCACCCAACTGCTGCACGTGGCCTTTGTCAGCACCTTCTGTGTGTTCACACCACCTACACCTTCCAGGGAGGTGAGTTCACACCTGCTCGGGTGGTTTCGCTGTGTGGTTGCAGTGGTTTGGTTCAGGCTGTGGTAACGATACCAGTGCTCGGGGGGCTGGCAGGGGGAGTTGAGATGTCACTTCTCACTGTGTCACTCTCCCCACGTGGCTGAATGTGTCTGTAAATCACACCAGTGCTTCCCCATGGCTTTGCTTTCTGTTACTGCCTCAGCTGCCAGGATTTCACGGGACACAGATCTCGGCTTTTGGCAAAAGCACGGCCTCCTTTCCTTGTAAAGGTACTTGGGATGTATTTCAGTGCCCTGAAGCGTAGCCAAGGGCCCTGCTAAGCTCCCTGAATCCAGGCTCTGAGAGATTGTGTTTCATTTTATTTTTCTGAGTTTGCTTGCCCGTGGAGTCTGTATTTCTTCCAGCATCTGCCCAGGGAGCATGGGAGAATCCCCCGGCATTTCAGAGGGTGAGGAGTTTCCTCTTACCGGGTTGGTCTCCTGATCTGCTCCTAAGAAGTCCTTGGCAACCCTTGCTGCTCATTCCCAAAGGTGATACATGTCCTGCAGCAGCCAAAAGGTGTCTGTTACCTCACAAGGGCACTCTGGGGCCTGGGGGCACATTTCCTCCTGGCTGTCAGTACCACAGCTGAGGACTCTCTTTTTCCCTGTTCAGGACAAGCTGTGCTTTGAAGGTGTCACACCAGGAAGGATTTCCATGTGTGTTGGTGCTTTCTACAGCTACAGCAATTGCAAAATAGTCTTCCCCAGCCTAAAGGGAAACCTTTATATCTAATCCATCTCAGACTTTAAATCTCAAAACTAGCCAAGTAAAGCCAGCAGAGTTTGCACCAAGGGGCTTGATTTTGTGGGCCTCTTGGAGGGAACATTAAAAGATGTTCGCAGGGTTTAGAAGCATTGTTTATTTATTTATTTATTTGGGTATGGAAATCCCTCTGGCTGGTATTCCCATGTCCCTTTAAGCCATTGGAGATGACATTTCTTTTGTTTCTTTCATTAAAACCATTTTTATCCTGGCTCATGGGACTGTCCAAGTAGAAATTAAAACATTGCTTGGTGTTTCCTTGCCCATCCTATCAGTTCTTCATCCCCAGATCCTTTCAGCCCTCCCCAGCTCTCCCCCCTTCCCTGCCCAGCTTGCCTTGAAGGGCTGGGAAAGGCGAGACTGGCGCATTCTGTTGCCTGTCTGATTGTTGTGGGGTTGTGTTTGTGTGGGGAAGGTCACGAGACAAAAAGACCACCAGGCAGGGCTGGGCAGGGGGGGCTCAGTCCCTCTCCATTCAGGCCTTGTGGCAATGGGTGGGAAGAGTCTTGTTTGCATGACAGGATTTCAGGGGGCCGTTGCTTTTTGTTTAGGTTTCTTCCACGGCTGCTGAGTGGGCCCTGAAGGGCACAACAAAAGTAGAGCATATCTGGGAATTCATGGGGCTGCAGCAAAGGAGTGACTGATCCTGCCCAGCCCCTGTGCTCCTGCAGCCTGGAGACTCCCAGCAATTCCTCTGCCTGAGCTGTTTGTGTCCTGTCCAGCCTTGGCTCTGCTGGGAGCTCTGGATCTTGTGGCTGGGATCCTGAGGGGGATAAATGCTCTGGAAGTTTTCTGTCTGTGGAATGAAGACTGTAATGCAGGGGCACAGCTCCACAGACCTGCCACAGTGGCTGTGCTTCCCAGAATATTTCTGAGACTTCCAGCCAATTACTTTTATTTGCAGCATCTGCCTCCTGCCTTGCCCGTCGGCTCGACACTTTTGAGAGCATTGCTGTGTTTAAACAGCTCTTATTTCCTCATCAGCCCTGTGAGAAGCTGAGCTGTGTCCCTCCCTGCAGCTCTCCCCTCACCCCGTTCTTAGAAAGCAGCTCAGTGTGTATTTACCACTGGTGTGCACAAAAGCAAACATTGTCAGGGACTGATTGTAACTGTCCCAATTACCCCGGCTTCATTTACATAAGAAGACTGACCAGCCTGTGGCAGTGGCATTGCCTTGACTGTCTGATAGGGGACATTTAGATTTGGGGAGCAGGAAAGAACTGGAGTCCCCAGACTGGCTGTGGCATGGAGAAGAGAGGGCAGTTTTGGTCCCTACTACAGCAGCCCTTCCTGGAAGGAGGATAACTTGTCAGCTCCCAGCCATTGGCAGCACAAGTCTGTCTGATTAAAATGGAATAGCTGCCAGTTTTCCAGAGATGCAAATTCCAGGAACCCCGAGCACGCCTGGCTGTCCCATCTGAGTAAATCCTTCTCCTGCACAGTGTGTGTGTGTATTTATGTGTTTATTTTTAGTAGGTGTTGACCCTCCTTGAATGCTTTTAGATTAAGCAGTGACCTGCCTTGTGTTGTCACTTCCCTCAGGCACACGTAACCTCTCCTCCCTGTGTTTGGATTTTTTCCAGAGAGCTAGCTGTTCCTGCAGGCAGGCACTAAAGCAAGAGGAGAGCAGCTGGGATGAAGCAGAAGTCAGGAAGCAGGCTGCAATGGTATGATCTCCTGACCCAAAGCAATAGCTAGTGCTGGTAGGACTTGTTTACACTGCAGCAGCTGCACAGCTCACACTCCTTTTACTGAATTGAGAATTACTCATATTCTCTCTCCATTCTCCCCAGTGCCACATGTAACACAATCTCCCTGTGCCCAGGCTGGCAGATGGAAACCCAAGGCACTCTTCTGTTTGCAGCAGTGGTTTCTCATGGGCTCAGCTGGCCTGTGAAGCTGCAATGTTCAGGCTTTGGCAGAGCAGCCCTTGGGAAGACCCTTTGTGCCCCTCTGGCACTGCCGTGTGTGCCTGCACAGACCCACACCCACCTCTTCATCTCCCTGCTGCTTCCAGGAGACACTCCCACACTTGGGCATCTTTCCTTGTTGCCTGTGGATATCACCAAGTTTAGCTGCTTCCTTTGACCTTTATCTTCCCCCCTCCTTCAAAGCTCCCCTCTAGTATTTGGCAGTTTGGAATTGTTATTATTTAGTTACTAGGTGACAATATAGGAGTGTGTCATGCAGGGGGCTGGAGCACAGGCAGCTCATCTCAGCTACAGTAGTATTTTAAGCTTCTTGCATCCTTGAGTGAGTTACTTTGTGTGAATTGGGCTGGTAATTCATAACTCAGTAATTGGGTGAATTACTTTGCCTGTCTCCCAGTTCAAAAGTGGAACTCCTTAGGAGGTGGTACCACTGTGAATCATAAAGAGCACAAATTACCATTTCACAGTGCACTGTGTGCTGGAGACCTGACTGCTAATGGCCAGATCTCAAATATCTGTCCTTATGCTTTTGGACCTCTCTAAGAGGGATTGATAATCCAGTCCAGATTTCTCAGGTATTCCTTTACTCTTTCTTTGGGGGGCTGGAGGGGGAAAAATCCTTATGTTTTTCTCAGATCAGGGGCTGCTTGTGCTCTGAGTCCAGAGCATTCACATTTTTTGCCTGAAATCACCCACAGTGGTATTGTTACCTTTGCTTGGTGCAAGGAACACAAAAAAAGAAGAGGCAGAACAGAGTCTCAAGTTGAGGGACAGATCAGCCCATGTTTTGGCCTTGTAGGATCTGAAGGAACATCTTACAATCAGTGTTCAAAGCTAAGGCAAATTCTCGGGAAAGTCTTGGCACGAGTGAAATCTCAGGAGATCTCTTTGCTTGGAAAAGTTTTGTTTTGAAAAAGTTTCTCTTGGCTTTATGAATGAGAGCCAAGCCCTGCAAACAACACTGCTGATAACCAATACCACACACAGAAACTGCACCTTGTCCTGTCTTTGGAACAATGCTACAGTTGCGTCCCTTGGGCTGCTGCTGGTGATTATCTTGGTGCTTTATCCCGTGGGCTGTTTCCATGTCATTGGCTCAGTTTTGCTACAGTTCCCTTTGATGGGGGCAGCCTGACCTTTGGGGGCTGCCTTTGGATTTGCTCTGGGTTCATGAGAATTTGCTGTCTGGGGGCAAAGAAGGTGCCCGATGGTGGGGGGATTATTGCGGGACAGACGACGGTCGCACTGTCTGCTCGAGGCAGCTTTTCTGCTCCTGGATTAAAGTTCACGCTGTGTTACTTGTCTCTCTGTCTAAGGCCTTGTCAAGTCCATGTGGGAAGCTGTTCTGTCTGCACTGTTTCACTTTGTGCTGCTCAGCTCTCTCCCTGCCCCACTTCTCCCCCTCTTTCCCCTTCCATTCAAGCGGCATCTTTCAGTCTTCCCCATTCAGGTCTGTCTTTGCTCTCTGCCCTGTGTAAAACTGCCATGCCCTCCCCACCATTCATCACCTCTTGCTCATTCACCTCCCTGCTTGCCTTTCTCCATTCATCTGGGCTTCCTCCCAGCCAGTCTGGGCTGCCCTCTCCTCCTGCCCCTTCCCCACTCCTCCCTTTGTGCCCCTGCACTCCCTTCTCCGTGACCAGCCACAGCTCAGCAGTCTGCAGTGTGCTCTGGGAGGATGCTCTGCTAGAAGTTGGCCCCACTTGATGGGCTGATTAATCCCCAGTGGAATCCTGGTGGGACTGTTTGGGGTGGATTTGTCTCTCTGATTACCTTGCAGGTGAGAAGACTTTTTTTTCTCACTCTCTTCACACTTCCCAGAGATGCAGCTTGATGCACAGGAATAGGAAGAGGTTTGTGACTCCCCAGCCTTCCTGTTCCATCTGTTTCTGTCTCTCCCTCCTGCCTTGTTTCCCCTTTGTTTGCAGCAGTTGCAGCTCTCAGGTGACTCTTTGCAGAGGTTGTTTTAATTTCCTCATTTCTGAGGAACATGAATACTCTTAATTATGCTGACTCTGTAATTATGGTTGTTGCCTGTGTCTTCTCTGCTTCCTTCTTTTAAATCATCCACATTGAGGCTGTATCAGTTTTGGAAAACCATCTCTGCACTTGGATGTGTGTTTTAAGTGTTACCCAGGAAATAGAGCTTGTGAGTTGGAGTAGCCTGGGCTCGTTGTTTCTCAGTGCAGCCACAAGCCTGTGCCTGTGATGCAGACACAGGAAATAAGGACCACAGGCCTCTGCCAAAGCTGCCCTGGGCTACTGTGCCCCTGCAGCTCCCCTGTGCTGGCAGTGTGCACACACCACCCCGGGCTATGGAGGGAGCAGTGTGGCAGGAAACGGGGTGGGAGGGCTGCTGGCCCCCAGGTGCCCATGGGGGGCTTCAGCTCTGAGGGGTTAAACTGCATTCAAACCAGTCTGTTCAAGCAAAAGGGCAATATTAGAGCTTGGGAAGAGTGGATGGACAGGCCTGTGGGAGGAAGCAGGTGCTCTGAAAGCCTGTGTGAGCCCTGCACACGTGGGAAATGTGATCAGAGCAGGGAGGGAGGCAGGAATGAGGTGGAAAGAGGCACAGGCTGTGCGAATGAGTGCAGGTCTGACTGACAGCGTGAGCTCTGCTGTGTGGGAGGCTGTGAAGGGACTATCTGCTGCTGTCTGCTGAGCCTAAGAGGAGCTCCTGATACAGCCCAGGCAGGGCCAGGCTCTGTGAGGACCTGTCAGTCCTGTAAGAAGGACCCTTTTCCCTGCTGTCTCAAAGAGGGATTTCAAACCCTGCTCTGGTTTTTTTGTCAGGGTTTGTTAAAAGGCATTCCCTGTTCACTGTGTTTGTGCCCCACAGAAACATTGCACCTTGCAGGGCACAGCCAGCCCCAGGCCAGCCCTGCATTTGGTCACCTGCAGGGAGAACTGCTGTGCTCCAACAAGGCTTGGGCTGGGAGCCCTGCATGGACAGCACTTCTCCCTAAGAAGGGAGTTGCATTCCTGTTGTGGAGTTTAATAAGTCATGATTTGCTTTAAAACTTCAGATACATTTTCTGCCTATTTGAAAACTTGTGGCAGACAGAACTCCATAAACATTGTGCCTTGCCTTGCATTTTCTCTTGTATCCACTAAGAGCATATAAAAATCCAAAATGCAGCTTGATTTTTCCGATTTGTGGCTGTGTAATTTTGGCACTTGGACAAATCTGTTCTACCCTTAAACCAAAGTATGTTTGACACAGCAGACTCTGGGAAAGTGCAAACACTGCAGAAATTACCAATGCAGCCCTGCATGCAGGGAACCTGCAGTCTGGGTGTCATCCAGCCCTGATTTGAGTAGATCTCCTAAGGAGCAATGCAAAGCACCACAGCTTCCAGCAGTCTGGCTCCTTTCTGCAGCTGGAACCCCTGTGATCACCCTGGAAAGATGCAAGCCAGGATTTCTTGCTCTCAGGCATTTAAATGGTAGAAGTTAGAGAAATTAGAGAATAATTAATGCTGCCAGCTCAGTTTGGAAGCAGGCTGCCTGTGATACCTTTGGGATGGTTGTGTCCTTGCACTGTAACACCAGGGGTGCCTTCAAGGGAATTATGTGGTACCTCTGCCTCCTCTTCACAAGGCTGACATTGCCTTCTGCTCCAGTTCAGCTTGGAAAACAGAGGAGTTTCTTGGGCAGCTCCTTAGTCCCCTTGACTGAGTAAAGCCAGCTGTGAGACCAGCATGAGTTAAATATGTTTCCCAGTCTGTTTAATAAGAGTTTTGCTCTGTGGCTGTTGCTCTAACCAGAAGCATGGTTTGATTTCCAGCAGAGGTGGGTCATTCTGGCTGTACCTGTGCTATGGCACTTGTTAGTTGGGGCTTTAAAGCATCCGTTTGGCTCAAGTTTTTCTGAGCCCCAATAGCTGCAGTCAGGTCAGAAGGGAGCTGTTTGGATTGTCCACTCTCTCGTAATGAAGGCTGGACTTTCTGAGTGATCTTCTGCTTGACCTCGACCATTCCTCATCTCCCAGGAAAACCTGCAATTCAATTATTAAACTTTTAGTGAGACATTTCACTTGTTAATAGTAAAAAATAATCAACTTACTCTAATCTAAAGCTGCCCAGTTCTGACCTCTTTGACCTTTGTCTCAGAGGAGATTCCTGTACTGCCAATTTTCTGTTACTCTGGACAGTGATCAAGTCATTGCTTTACCTTCCCTTCCACAAGATAATGAATTGAGCCCGTCAGTGCAGCCAGTCAGACTGTACCAGTCACAAAGTGCCAAAGAGGTGATGGCACCTCATTTCCAACCCTGCACGGTTCCTTTTCTGCAGGCATCGTTACCTTGAGCGCTGTCACTGTAACAACCAAGGCTGTTTTCCCCCCAGCGGCTGCTGCTGAAGACGGCATTCCCTGTCCTGTGAGCTGGCTGGCAGTCTTGGCTCCGGGCCAGGTGGCTGTCTCTTTGTTTTTATTGTAATATGTATTGTTTGCAAGCACCCAGATTTACCAAAAGACCCAGCTCATGCTTAGTAACTTGCTGCTTTAACTCATCTGTGATATGATGCAGACTGCTGCTAAGCCACAAATGAGAATCCGGTAGGAGCGAGAGGGAATTCTCATGGGACCCCATTAGTGGCATTGCCGTGTGATGGGAACTCTCTCTGCCTTAGTTTTATTTTTGAGACCTGTCAAATGGCCAGACTTCAGCACGTTGAGTGTGTGACAGGCTGAGTTTGTGTCACAGTAAGTCCTCAGAGCCAGGGCTGTGTGGT